TAGATTACAATGATCATTGCGTCAGTCTGATGTGTAACGGAGCTTAGATTACAATGATCATTGCGTCATTCTGATGTGTAATGGTTGTTAGATTACAATGATCATTCCGTCATTCTGATGTGTAATGGTGTTTAGAATACAATGATCATTGAGTCATTCAGATGTGTAACGGTGCTTAGATTACAATGATCATTGCGTCATTCTGATGAGTAATAGTACTTAGATTACAATGATCATTGTGTCATTCAGATGTATAACGGTGCTTAAATTACAATGATCATTGCGTCATTCAGATGTCTAACAGTACTTAGATTACAATGATCATTGCGTGATTCAGATGCGTAATAGCAATTTAGATTACAATGATCACTGTGTCATTCAGATGTGTAATAGTACTTAGATTACAATGATCACTGTGTCATTCAGATGTGTAATAGTACTTAGATTACAATGATCATTGCGTCATTCTGACGTGTAACGGTTCTTAGATTACAATCATCATTGTGTCATTCTGATGTGTAATAGTACTTGGATTACAATGCTCATTGTGTCATTCAGATGTGTAATAGTACTTAGATTACAATGATCACTGTGTCATTCAGATGTGTAACAGTACTTAGATTACAATGATCATTGCGTGATTCAGATGTGTAACGGTGCTTAGATTACAATGATCATTCCGTCATTCTGATGTGTAATGGTGCTTAGATTACAGTGATCATTGCGTCATTCAGATGTGTAACGGTGCTTAGATTACAATGATCATTGCGTCATTCAGATCTGCAACAGTACTTAGATTACAATGATCTTTGCATCATTCAGATGTGTAATAGTACTTAGATTACAATGATCATTGCGTCATTCAGATGTGTAACAGTACTTAGATTACAATGATCATTGCGTCACTGAGATGTGTAATGGTGCTTAGATTACAATGATCATTGCGTGATTCAGGTCTGTTACCGGGCTTAGATTACAATGATCTTTGCATCATTCAGATGTGTAACGGAGCTTAGATTACAATGATCATTTCGTCATTCTAATGTGTAATGGTTGTTAGATTACAATGATCATTGCGTGATTCAGATGTTTAACGGTGCTTAGATTACAATGATCATTGCGTCATTCAGATGTGTAACGGTGCTTAGATTACAATGATCATTGCGTCATTCAGATGTGTAATAGTACTTAGATTACAACGATCATTGCATCATTCAGATGTGTAACGGTACTTAGATTACAATGATCATTGCGTCATTCAGATGTGTAACAGTACTTCGATTACAATGATCATTGCGTCATTCTGATGTGTAACGGTGCTTAGATTACAATGATCATTCCGTCATTCTGATGTGTAATCGTGCTTAGATTACAATGATCCTTGCATTATTCTGGTGTAATAGTACTTAGATTACAATGATCATTGCGTGATTCAGATGTGTAACGGTGCTTAGATTACAATGATCATTGTGTCATTCTGATGTGTAACAGTACTTAGAATACAATGATCATTGTGTCATTCTGATTCGCAATGGTGCTTAAATTACAATAATGATTGCGTCATTCAGATGTGTAACCGTGCTTAGTTTACAATGATCATTGCGTCATTCAGATGTATAACAGTACTTAGATTACAGTGATCTTTGCATCATTCAGGTGTGCAGTAGTACTTGATTACAATGATCATTGTGTCATTCTGATGTGTAATGGTGCTTAGATTACAATGATCATTGCGTCATTCAGATGTGTAATATCACTTAGATTACAATGATCATTGAGTCATTCAGATGTGTAACGGTGCTTTCATTACAATGATCATTGTGTCATTCTGATGTGTATTGGTGCTTAGATTACAATGATCATTGCTTCATTCTGATGTGTAATAGTACTTAGATTACAATGATCATTGTGTCATTCAGATGTGTAACGGTGATTAGATTACAATGATCATTCCGTCATTCTGATATGTAATCGTGCTTTGATTACAGTGATCATTGCGTCATTCAGATGTGCAATAGTACTTAGATTACAATGATCATTGTGTCATTCTGATTTGTAACGGTACTTAGATTACAATGATAATTGCGTCATTCTGATGTGTAATGGTGCTTAAATTAGAATGATCATTGCGTCATTCTGATGTGTAATAGTACTTAGATTATAATGATCATTGTGTCATTCAGATGTGTAACGGTACTTAAATAACAATGATCATTGCGTCATTCTGATGTGTAATGGTCGTTAGATTACAATGATCATTGCGTCATTCTGGTGTGTAATAGTATTTAGATTACAATGATCATTGTGTCATTCAGATGTGTAACGGTGCTTAAATTACAATGATCATTGCGTCATTCTGATGTGTAATGGTGCTTAGATTACAATGATCATTGCGTCATTTTGATGGGTAATAGTACTTAGATTACAATGATCATTGTGTCATTCTGATGTGTAATGGTGCTTAAATTACAATGATCATTGCGTCATTCAGATGTGTAACAGTACTTAGATTACAATGATCATTGCGTGATTCAGATGTGTAACGGTGCTTAGATTACAATGATCATTGTGTTATTCTGATGTGCAATAGTACTTAGTTGATAGTACCTCTCAAGGAAGGCATCGTGTGGCTGTATGGAGCATGTAGGGAACGTTAGTTGACAGTACCTCTCAAGGAAGGCATCGTGTGGCTGTATGGAGCATGTAGGGAACGTTAGTTGACAGTACCTCTCAAGGAAGGCATCGTGTGGCTATATGGAGCATGAAAGTAGTTCTTGCTATCAGATCAGGACACGGTGTTTGCCGCATGGGTTTATCGTATTGATAGCTATGTACATTTAGGTGCCTCACTCTGGGAGTGGCATGCGTTGGAATCCCGGACTCAACCTAAGAAAAGTTTAGAATCAATACCTTACCGAGAAAGCGTAATCCCAAATATAAAGCGTAATCCATTACATAAGATATGTTACATTTGGCCACTTTCTAAATGACATTGTGCATTCATAACACTATACATTATATGATAACAAGTGATATCATATTACAAATATCCCTTTGCAGATAGATGCATTTAAGTATATTTCTGTTCTTGAAGGCAAACGCATTTTAAACGTCACAATTTGTGGCTGCAATGAGGAATATCTTTGGAACTAAGAACGTTTCTTTTGTGTTAGTAGAGAATAAGGGACCCTACTGCATACCCATGATTCGTTATTCCGAACAGTTTCTGTCGGATTAACGGGGTTTCACTACAAACAAATTTAATCCCACACTTCAATATAACAAAGCCACAGATGAGTGAGTTCATTAGCAGCTGCCACGAAGGTATCCGCTGATGGGACAATTACAACTCTGCAAACCCTAAATCCAATTACGCAGAGCTTATAAATACCCAGAGCGTATGTTATTATAAATACTGGCTTGAACCCATTAATCTATGCCTCATAGTACACAGAAGACACCGAACCCACACAAGGTAAGATCTCCTTCTCTGCAACTGTTTGTTATAGAGGAAACGTGTGGCCGGGTGTTCTGCAGTGTTTTTCTTTTTTAAGCTTAATATATCGGGCGGTGGGGTAGCTCAGTGGTTAAAGCGTTCGATCGTTCGCAAGACCGGGGTTCAATTCCCATCATGGGTACAATGCGTGAAGCCCATTTCTGGTGTCCCCCGCCGTGATATTGCTGGAATATTGCTCAAAACGGCGTAAAACCACACTCAGTCAGTCATAATATTTACTTCTGATCCTTGCTTTGTCAGAACCATGCCCATGTTTGTAGGTTTATTAATCTGGTTACTTGATGATACCTCAATCGCATCGGGGTCGCCTCCCTCAAAACACACCATATTCTTCAGTAACTGAATCCTCATCCAAGGAACATTCCACCCCAAGTGTAGCCGAGAGATCACATGCAGTATTCAACCATTCTTATTCCAAACACACCAGTCTGGTTAGGGTTCTTTATGATCTGTTTATACATATATAATAAAGTCGAAATACAATGTTCTCTGATCTGACAATGAAATCAGCACTGTCCACCATGTTCATTTCCAGTTTCATTGTTGTAGTTGACAAAATGAAGATCGCTGTCGTTGTGCTGTTGGCGGTGGTGGTGAGCGCTGTCACCGAGGGAGCATTTATCGGCTATAACAACAGGCCGGTGAGTGGAGATGCTCAAAGATACATCCATGTCAAGGGAGACTACGTCCTTCTATAGGTTAATCCTTTACTAAAATATAACAGCAAAAGCTTCTAGAAGCGTTTTGGGGCGGTGTCGTAGCCTAATGGTTAAAGCGTTGGCTCGTCACGCCGAAGACCCGGGTTCGAATCCCCACAAGGGTACAATGGGTGAAGCCCATTTCTGGTGTCCCCACTGTGATGTTGCTGGAATATTGCTAAAAGCGTCGTAAAACCAAACTCAGTCAGTCAGTCTAGAAGCGTTTTCAAGAATATCCCACCACTCGAATGGTTATTAGTTGTCTCCTCAAACAGTTTTGCTTTCATGTTGTTTTTAATGTGAAACTAGTGAGTTTGATGATAATGATTATTGATATACAATATTATTCTTCCAATGACTCACTACACATGCAGTTTCGCATATATTTCTCTTAAATACGGACAAAAAGGTCATTGAAATTAAAGGATATCTTACAGGCGGGATTGGCATTTTATTGTGAACAACACAATTGAGGTCAATGTTCATGTCACTAGGTTATTGAGATTAAAGGACATCTTACAATAGAGACGGGCATTTTACTATGAACATAAGATGAGGACAATGTCACTATGTGTCTGAAAATGTATGAGTGCATTTATCGATCCGCTTAGTATATACCCCATTTACATACCTGGACCTTGCCTTTAAACCTTTAACTTAAAATAAACATGTCACGGGGTGTGTTTTAGGTTTTTGCAAACAGTGCCTTTGTATCTTTTAAATGGAACGACTTGAAATATTGGTGGGATGTCTATCAAATTTTTCTGATGGACCTGATCAATAAGGTATGTGTGGACTACTGTGTTTGTTGCATATCAAACGTTTGGTAGCTTCAAACAAATTACATTGAAGAAGTCGTTTCAGCATGTGTTAATATAAGCGACACACCACTTTCCATAATCGTATAAAATTCCTGCTAAAAGTATCCACAAAACCTGTAGTTATTTCTGAAATAAGTAAACAAGTTGACAAATCTTTACAAATTCAGATTTCCTTCCTCGTAACATATATATTCAACGATGTCTTAACTGAAACACTTTTAGAAATGCAAAATGAAAACCCTCAAAGAAATGCTAATCTCAAGTTTTATCATATAGGTCATGGTTTAATGATATGTTGACCTTTGTATGCATGTTGTGAGCCTGTTTTGTCCAACTGGATTTAGATCTCGCTTCCACCAGTTGTGTTGGGCAAATTTAGTTCACCACACTTCACGTAGTTGCGTTGTACGTATTCACTTAACCCCGTGCCATGTAGCTGTGTTATAATAATAAAGCGCTGTGAAGATCCGGCCTGGAATTGATCTTCAGTAAACCATGCTTGTCGTAGGAGGCGACTATAGGCATCGGGTGGTCAGGCTTCTGACTTGCTCGACACATGCCACCGTTTCCCAACTGCGTAGATCGATGTAAAGAGCCTGATTTGATGTTCGAGAGTCAATTACTTACAGACCACAGTAATCTAGAAAATTGCGGAACATTATGATTACCCTAGTTGTGTTGTGCTGCCTCCATTTTGCTTGTGTTGCCTCAGTTATGTTTCTGCTGCAGATATCCCCGGAAAAACAAACGATCCTAGAGAGCTTCCGCGAACTGGGTGAGATAGTTAATTCTGGTAGAATCCGATTAGAAGGACACCAATAGTTCATAGTTTATTGGTGATAGAATGAGTTAAGTTTTACATCAGAAATAAGCAATATTCTAGCTATATGGCGGCGGTCTGTAAACTATCGAGTCTGGACCAGAAAATCCAGTGATCAACAGTATAAGCATCGTTATACGTAAATTGGGATACGATGACAAGTGTCAACAAAGTCAGTTAGCCTGACCACCCGATCCCGTTAGTCGCCTCTTACGACAAGCATGGGTTACTGAGGATCAACTGTAACCCGGATCTTCACGGGTCCATAGTTTATTAACATGACATCTTCCGAACTGATTACTAAAGGTTACAAAATCTGACTAATAAGCAAATGCTCATGCTGTTTACCACTCGTTTGTCTTGTGTAGACAAATCCTGACATAATATCCCCAACAATGTTCACCTTAAGTGTTCGCATCAACTTTACGAAAACCTGATTCTCACACCATTCCTCTTACAGTGGAGATGGCCGAAAAATCCGGACGTAATCCGTAAGTTTGACTTTTGGTGTGCAATGTTTCAGTCCAAGTCCTTTTGAATGTAGAAGATGACGTATAAACCGAGTTTGAACTGTATGAAGACTCTGATTTTCCTCCCGTAAAACCAATAATTGATGGCATTCGAGAAAAGCATACTCACTAGAGTATATCAATGAATCAAACTAGTGCTCCTTCGCACAAAAAGGGTTCACTGATTTTGCTAACTAAATACGCTGATGCAGGTCAGAATTGAGTTATTGAAAATGAATGTGTAAATCTAAGGACATATTTCCGTTTTCCACGTGGTGGCAGCTGATGGACTATGACTGAATCACATTAAGTTTTCTTCGGTAACGTTACTCGTTCCACCAGCACCAAACCAGACATACAATTGATTATGGTTATTAAGACATGATGCACATATCAGTTCACTACTATTTCCACAACATAAGCATCGATTTGCAACATCAGAAAGCGAAATATCATGTAAGGGTTTATGCATTTGTTCTTGACAACTTCGTTTAATTTCATATGATGATTATTACGACTATGATTCAAAACAGCAGTCTCGTAATCATCACATCATCCTTGATCTGTTTGATCATATTAGACATCAGGAAGCTCAGACATCCAAGAACTGATATGAGTTCCAGCTCAGACATCCAAGAACTGATATGAGTTCCAGCAACTGATATGAGTTCCAGCTCAGACATCCAAGAACTGATATGAGTTCCAGCTCACACATCCAAGAACTGATATGAGCTCCAGCTCAGACATCCAAGAACTGATATCAGTTCCAGCTCAGACATTCATGACATGAAAGGTCAGACTCAGATTTACCTAGCTGAGCGGCACATACATGAAATGAGCAGACGTACATGAGAGTTTAGCGGAGCTCCACCTCAGAGATACATGAGCTTAGCGGAGCTTCACCTCAGAGATACAGGCTTAGAGGGAGCTCCACCTCAGAGATACATGAGAGCGGAGCTCCATCTCAGAGATACATGAGCTTAGCGGAGGAGCTCCATCTCAGAGATACATGAGCTTAGCGGAGCTCCAGCTCAGAGATACATGAGCTTAGCGGAGCTCCACCTCAGAGATACATGAGCTTAGCGGACGGAGCTCCACCTCAGAGATACATGAGCTTAGCGGAGCTCCATCTCAGAGATACATGAGCTTAGCGGACGGAGCTCCACCTCAGAGATACATGAGCTTCGCGGAGCTCCATCTCAGAGATACATGAGGTTAGCGGAGCTCCACCTCAGAGATACATGAACTGGCACATACCGACGAGGAGCTCCTATTTACTTGAGATATTGTATGCTTGTGTAAAAATGGGCCGCCATGTAATAGATATACGTTGAGACGGAGTCACAAGTTTGGATACAGTACTTACTGTTCCTGTAGTAAACATAGGATGTGTTTAAGATTACACGCCTTATGTGTTTGTTGAATTTAGGTTTCCATTAAGCCAAGACATGCTGGAGGCACTGAGACCCAAGACGGAGGAAACTAACAGCGTGGAGTAAAACATAACAATGCATATGCAAGTGAGTACGTTGAAACAAGGATAAAAGTATAATTATAAAAATAATATAAAGTTTGTAGCACAACATCAGGCCAAGGACAAAGGTAAGCGTGCACGTGATTGTATAGCTTGACACACAGGATAGGAACAAAGCAAAACATACACAGGGTTGTAGCTTGACATACAGACTAGGAACAAAACAAAGCATGCACAGGTTTGTAGCTTGACATACATGACAAGTAATACACACCGGTGAAGTCACTTGACATAATGACAGGAGCTTAAAATGAAAATAGATGCACAGGTTAGTGTAATCTGACCTTCAAGTTAAGAACAAAATATTACAGGGCTGTAGCTTGACATAAAGATCAGGGCACTAGATTTTCGAAGCATGCTACGATAGTCGTAAGCTTGACATGTTAATGTATGGCTACAACACGACGGGTTATCTTGACATAACGATAAGAGCACTACAACACATGCACAGGTTAGTAGCTTGACATAACGATAGAGCACTACAACACGTGCACGGGTTAGTAGCTTGACATAACGATAAGAGGTACCTTGACCTTCAGGGCTAAAACAAATCAGTACATGCAACACTTTGTTGTTTGAAATAATAAGCAATACATATACAGGATGAGAACAAAAACAATGTACACATGGCGTTCAAGGTGAGAACAAGACAAGTAGCGTACACCCGAACCTTCAGGCAATTTTGACTTGTGTAGCCCCCATTTCGGTCATACCTATGGCTCTCTCTCTTTCTTCACGTGTTAATCTCGGCATGTCTTTGGTGTGTTTTATCAGCTGTGATACTGTCTGGTCCAGACTCGATTATTTACAGATCGCCGCCATATAGCTGGAATATTGCTGAGGCGTAAAACTCACTCAATCATTTGTGATACCATGCTATATAATGATCAACTTTAAACACCACTTCGGCACGTGCATCTCGTTCTGCAGACTCCAAACTTGTTTTACGAATTTCTCGTGCACCGTCAGTTGTGTTGCGTTTCGGAGATGTTTTTTGTTCCTCCCTGTGCCCGGGAAATGACTGTCAGAATACCCACTCTTCACTGAGTAGTTTTGTTAAAATATGACATTCGCCAACCTATATTTTCTTTTGCCTCTTAGTTTAGTTTGGCGTTCAAGATCAGAACGAAACAATTGGTAAACGCATAACGTACGAAGCAAAAATGTACAAAGCAATGCATACATTGGAAATAGCTTGACATCCAAGGTAAGGACAAGATATTGTATACATTGGTTTGCAGCTTATCGTACAAAGCAAGAACACAGCAACGCACACATTGGTAGTAGCTTGAGGTACAGAAACAAAATAGTGCATACGCCGATAGTAGTTGACGTATATAGTGAGTGAGTGAGTTTAGTTTTACGCCGCACTCAAGCTATATGGCAGCGGTCTGCAAATGATCGTGTCTGCACCAGACAATCCAGTGATCAACATCATAAGCATCAATCTACGCAATTGGGATCGATGACATGTGTCAATCACGTCAATGAGCCTGACCATCCGATCCCGTTAGTCGCCTCTTACGACAAGCATACTGAGGACCTCACGGGTTGAGGTATAGAGATTAGATCAAAGCAATACATACACATGTTTTAGGGTGTCGTCATACAGGATGAGATACAAAACACACACACACACACACAACAAAACAAAAAAAAACACAAAACAAAAACAAAACATCATACACAAGTGTGTATTGCGACTCAGAGATTAAGAAGTAAACGATATTTCCACAGGTTGATAGCTCAACCAACATCATGCGGAAAAACGGGAGAACATCATTCTCAGGTTGAATCACGCTTTTGATACACTTCCTTTCATGACGAATGAGTCAGTGAGTGAGTTTAGTTTTACGTTGCACTCAGCCATATTCAGGCTATATGGTCTGCAAATAATCGCGTCTGGACCAGACAATCCAGTGATCAACAGTATGACATCGACCTATGCAATTGGGATATGATGACATGTGTCAACCTGACCACTCGATGCCATTTTTAGTCGCTTCTTAACGACAAGCATGGGTTACTGAAGATCAATTCTAAACCGGATCTTCAATATTCTAGCAGCTAAATCCTTTGATGTCTCTGACTCACAGCTTGTAAGACACAATCAACCATACTCACTCAAGATGATTTCAACAGACTCTTGCCTAAGGTTGTTTAATCAAAGTGACAGCATGCAATGAACTTGTTTATGTTTATGAAAAGGATTTTATGCGTATGTGTTTCATTTTGTTGAAACCAACAACCATTATGGTGACTAATCACAAAAAACAATAATCTTAACCATATCTTCTGTATAAAACTTTTTTTTAAAATGTCTGAATTAATTTCATGTGATGTTCCTTTCAGTTTCAAGGTGTTACCTACTATACAACGACTCAGGCAGAACTGTTCATGTTCTGCTGCCACCCTCAACACATCAATCACAGGAAAGGATTGGTGGCTATTTTCTTAAATTTCATAGCCTCCAAATGAATCATATTCAAAACGCATCCCTAAAACTATATTCTAAATTATATATATATGTAATATAGTGTATATTAATTAGTTTCGCTTTGTTGGATTATGTTGCTGCTTTGAAACTTTGCTATAATGAATAAAATTCATTTAGAAGTATTAACGTTGTTGTTTTAGAGATGGTGTGTAGTTTCTTGGACAAACCCTCCAGTCTTATAGAACACTGTAACCCCTACCGGGAAAAGACACTCTCCACCAATGCTGGACATCGTGTAAAAATTGAATAGAACAGGAAGTTGTAATTCAATGGTGATGTACAGTTGTGTCTGTACAGTGTTTCTGCGATAGCTGCAGCATAGCAACGTTTTTAAACGTTTGCTTATTCTATCCACACAACATTATCTCTACACTCATTTCTGTGTTAAATGTTTTGCTGTTTATTCTATCCTCATAGCATTATCTGCACAAACAAGCCAAGAAGAAAAGACTCTCTGAACACAGGTTAGAAATGATTTTCAGAAACCCATGCTTGAGAGGCGACTAACGGAATCTGGTGGTCAGGTTCGCGGAGTTGGTGGACACAAACTGCATAGACCAATGATGTCAGTTACTGAATTGTCTGGTCCTGATATTATCATTTTCAAATGAAAATCTGTTGAGTAAGGTATTAAATAGCTAACAGACAAGTCTGACCATAACTCAGATCCTCAGAACAATCGATTCTTCACTGTGTACATATCTTTTCTTTAGCTAAACTGGAACACATGACTTTAATCAGTACTAAATGTGTTTCTACATAACATCGGACTTTAAGGGTAAGGCTTCACAACATGTGTGTGATTGTTTCCTTGTCACAGTTTCCTATAAGGATATAATCGAAACACCGTGAAACCAAATTCGTCATACAGTCGTCATGTCGCAAGCTACTTGACAAAGTAATACTACCCATCAAAAGTTTAGACTCACTAGTGTAAACGTAGCCACTTACTTCAGACAACTGTTCTAAACTTGATTTTGCAAACTATTCCATTCAGTTTGAAGGTACTGTTTACACATGAACTAATGTATTGTAAAACAAATTCGTAACGTTAAAAAGATTATTGTCATGAGTTCAGTAAATGATGAAAATCAGTGAAAATTGGCAAATTATTAACAAAACTTTACAACAAAACGCAGCTGTTCACATGAATAATATTTGCACATGCTTGTTAGCAATTTGATGCATGATCCTCGTATAATCCATCTGCATAAAGTTTGCAGTTGGTTCCCCCAAGTTAGTGGAGAAATTCATCTTCGATGTAACTATATATATATATATATATATATATATATATATATATATGACTGCTATAGGTGAGTCTCAACTTTTGAAAGGTAGTATATTTCGCACTGCATGTGTCCAAATTGTAATACATATTGCGAAATACTGTAACCGAATATGTCTGACCGGGGTTGACATTATTTTTCACATACTGTCAAAAAGTCAAAATATGTTTATTTGTATGTAAGGCCACCGGCCCATATACATCGGTTACAAAGAAGGTTCTTATTTAGGAGGATAACAATTGTTTTCTTAACATAATAGCATGATGGATATACAGTGATAATCTTTTTAAAATTGGAGACATCGCATGAGGAAACAATTTTGTAAAATGCTGCATTATTACTTCTGATTGTAATACAGTTACGGAGAAAATCAGAACGGATTTTATCATAGGCTGGACATTCAACAAGAAAATGTAATTCGTCTTCAATGCCTTTTTTACAAAATGGACATGATCTATAATTTCTATCAATGGACAGTCTTCTTCCTTCATTTATATATATATATGACATATAGTGACTGCTATAGGTGAGTCTAAACTTTTGATAGGTAGTATATTTCGCACTGCATGTGTCCAAATTGTAATACATATTGCGAAATACTGTAACCGAATATGTCTGACCGGGGTTGACATTATTTTTCACATACTGAAGAAGATATTACTCAGGATAGTTAGTCCTTGTAGTTTTGTTGTCATGGTCATGGATAACACAATTTATTATATTTTGCAACCAACATATCAAAACACAAAAAATACTGCAATATATATAGTCTAAAAAGTATATTGCAGTATAAAATACCATGAAGTCCTTTAAACAAGCAAAATTACAGTTTCGAATAGCTTTTAAACTGGTTGCTCACTTTAAAAGAAGTCAAAAGAGCAAAAAATACCAAAAACAACAACATAAAAGAAAAGAAAAAAAAACAACAATCAAAAACAGAACACATCAAGGGGTTGGCCATCAGCCATGTTCAAACCAGTTGAGCACAAACCCTGAATGGTTACTGTTCTACAAATCAGTCCATGTTATGTAAGAGAGATTCAGTGTATGTATATTGATATCCACATTTTGTCTCATACAGCAGAGTTTTGATTGTGATATTCAGATGATGCCAGGTGTTCCAGACTGAATAGAAGCCACTAGAGTATACTAAGTAAGGTTAACGAATCATGACAAGAACAAAAACCATGTCTGGGTCTTGAAAAAAAGAAAAACTGAATTTTGCCTGTGTTACTGTTGAAACAAAGACCCTTTGTTCTGGAGATGAGATTAAGATAGCATTCGGTCCTATTCCTGCCTTGTGTGAGCATAATGTATTTATATTTAAAGATCTGTGCAGAGCCTTATTAAAACTGTGTAAGGAAATGTATATGAGATGAATAAAAGAAAATCTTCTGACCTCATGTTAATGCTTTTATTGTCTATTTGAATTGTGATGAGTGAGTTTTCGTTTTACGCCGCTTTTAGCAATGTTCCAGCAATATCACGGCGAGACAACAGAAATGAGCTTCACACAATACCCATATGTGCAATGAAACCCGGGTCTTCGGCGTGACTGGAGAATGCTTTAACCATTAGGCTTAACACACATCACCCCATGTCCCCCCCCTCCCCCCACTATTTGAATTGTAAATTGAAACAGCATCAACTCACCACCCCTTATTATTGTGATGATAGTATTTATGGATGAACAATTTCTTTATTTACAGTGAGGAAAGTGACGTGCAGAAGTGAACAGGGTAGTGAGGGGAGGCATACACACAGATATACAATCTAGCAGAGAAGCCTGTTTCGTGTACACTGCAGCTAAATCAGGTCCTTGCAAATCAAATCAGTCGTGTAAACACACACATATATAGAGACGGATTATGTCTGACTGGAGTCTTTGAAGAGATGATGGCAGATAAGGTGGAGATATGAAGCCAGTCGTACAAACATCCAGCTGATCTTCAATGTCTTCTTGTTTCACACATTCTGGTATGTTCGTATCGTCTCGTAAGTGTTGGGGACGTCAACAGCTTCTCTCTGTAGGGCATCGTAGTCACTCCTGTCAACCGGTACTTCGTACTCGTCGCCTCCACCTGTGACAAAATGGGAATAGTAAGTACACTGACAATGTTGTACCAGACACAGTCGGCGATGGTTCACCTTGACGCGAATCTGGCTTCAACATTGCTAGATCAATGACTGAAAGAGGAAGCCTAGATTCATGCCAACATGAAACAGTGACACGATGTCAGCTGATTCATTGAGACTCACCAGTTAGTATTCGTCAGCTTTTACACCAAGCATGGAGAACGAGACGCATCTATGTTCTTGTGTCACTATTTAGTGAACATAAAGAATTTCATCTGGATTTCATCTTCTTCTATTCTTTGATACAAAGTTTCGGGGCCTGTTCCAGTCACTAATGTATTTTGCGAGGACTTGTTTCCCAGTCAATTTCATGATTAGGATTATTCACAATGTGTTGAGAAACTGCAGATATTAGATCCGATTTGTCGACTTTAGTTTTTGGTTCTTTCACACGTGAAGCTACTGGTCTGCCTGTCTGACCAATGTCAAGGTCACCAAAGTCACATTGTACACACAGTTGACCGAAGCTATCTTCATCAAACGTACAAAACCAACAATAAACAGGGATCAGGGTGTGTTCATAAAATAAGACAATATCCTACCTTCATCACTGTTTCATAAATATACTGTCCCCATGTATAAATCATAATTTCCATGTATACACAGTAAGTACTTTACATTTTATACATAGGTATCTGTACATTTATAAATTAATCCAATAATTTTGTAGTAAACAATCTTTTATATATTCATAACAACATGTATTCCTGTTAGCTGTGTTAGACTTATCCATTATGACGTCGAGATGTATTGCGTTGTCATGTATTACGTCGTCATATCATTGTGACGTCACGGGCACAGTTAACCGTTAATTAGTTTTACCTGATGATGCGACCGGAAAGGTCCTGAAACGTTGTATCAAAGAATAAAAGAAGATGAAATCCTGAAAAGTCTTTATGTTCATCAAACAGCATCTTCTAAAATGCCAACCAAGCATCTAATTTGTCACTATTTTGGTTATGCTCTGTTAGACACTTGCACAGTGATAATGTACATTGACAAAATCTGACCTGGTGTTTGGATTCCAACAGGTGCGACCACTGTGGCAGGAGCCTGTATGCTGCAGTGGTTGAGAAATGGATAAAGTTTATGGCAATGAATATTATGCTGCAGAACATTTTGGTCTTAATTGTTACAAAATTAAGAAACCTACAAGTGTTTTGAGGATGTGTTTTTGTTAAGTAAGTCATATTAAATAACTTGTAGTCATTATGGATCACTAAAATTTAAAGCGCTGAGTGTGGATTTGAACTCAGCGCGTTGTTGTTGATTTGCTTCCGGCGGATGCCGTGGAAGCTGTTAGAAATCTCTAAATGATTGTGTTGTGGAGTAGTTTTTGCTTGAGTTCTCAAGAACTGTATGATATGTATACAAGGGTGGTTGCTGACCCAATATTTTAGATTTGTGACTCAATTGTATTGTATTGGAAATCTGAACTGTCATTCATTTTAACCTTGTTAATTGTTTATTCAATATATTATTGAATATCAGAAACTTGTCTGGTTTATCATATGTTCTGGTTTAAAGGGGACTCACAAGCCTTTTATCTCGGTAATTTCTAAACCGTAACACAAGCCTATACACTTAAAGCACTCTTTCACTATAAACATCTTTTCAATTAACAGTTAGGATGTTTGTTACATTGTGATGAATGTTTCAAAGAATTAATTCTGGAACAGATTGACCTACGTTGACAATGCTGACATCTCTGCGTTACCGCTGTTCTTGTCTCCTGAAACAACCAAATATCAGATTAATGAACAGAAGTAGTACCTCCATCCAAACTCCTCATCCCTGGCGTATTACCAACACTGAAAATCATTGTGGGAGGAGTCAATGCAAGACTCCCGTGATGTTCAGTGGTCATCTTCCAGCAATAAAATGTGGTCTCGTGCATGCATTGTCTTCTTATTCGCCCGATCGTGAATCAGTCGAACATTGGGGTGACCACTTCGGTCAGAAAACCTGCAACAGGTCAACAGTCCTACTCCTCCAGTGGCTAGCTATTCCCAACTGTCTCTTCGGGAAGTGCCAATAAATGTGGTCACACATTGTTTATGCCATCCGACCATTTGCGACTTTGCCTTATGACCCTTGGTGGTCATTGCCAACATTCAAACTCTCATCGCTTGATTAACTTTATTTCTTCTTTGCTGTTTTATGCCGTGTTCCATAGCAACATTTCTATTCTCATCCAGAACAAGAATTCATAGTTTTAACAGCATAACGGTTAGCTCCATTGTAGAATTCCTGTCTATGATGGATATACATGTGAAATGCTTTATGACTTTGACAGAGAGATTAAGAACTGTTACAACTATACATACCTTCTTCTGTCTTGAGACATTTAAACATTCCCAAAACATTATCACGTAAAGTACCTACCTGATATGCAGTTTGCTAGTTTGTCCCTGAAGACGAACGCCAAACCCAGACAGATGGCATCAACAACCAGCATGACATTCACACCTATAGCCACTCCAACAACAAGAGAGGTATCCTGGTTCTCTTGGACACATGCCGCTGTCATTTGAAACATAAAATGTATTTCTATGACTGCATGGCAGTTTAATTTATTGTAACCAAATATTGTGACTATAATACATTGTTTTGTTAAGTTTCAGTATAAGATAAAATCATTGTGTTTTGGTAATACCTAGTTGTGAGGAATGTGTTACTGTCTCATGTTTGCACTGACTGATCCAGCATTTTACAGAAGCTTCTGAAAGGACGTATTTAGACCAAGTGCAGGTACGTGAAGGTCTTCGCTTGTGTTCATTCAGCCTAACTATAATTCACCAGGGCCATACCAAATCTCTTGTAAACACTATACCCTCCTTTTTTAAAAGATATTTGGAAATGTTCTTGTAGCACATAACTCAACCCCTTAACATATCTATTATGAGGTCCTGGAATGAGTGATCAGTCCCTATATCCCATTTTTATCATTTCTGCCATGAGACTGCCTTACACTGATCTTTCTCAGGCCCTGACTCAGTTACTTACAGGCCAAACTCATGTGCAAAGTATCCTTCTTAACATCTGTATGATGGACAGAACACATGATAGTACGTCAACCAAAGAAGCTTAAGTACCCTCTGTATACCTTCCGATGAATATATGTTTACCGATCGATTAAGCAAATGCTACCATTAACAATTCAGCCTATCTACCTCAAATACAGGAGTGTCATCAACCATAACTAAAGCAAACGAAACATAACAGCGTATGTGAGATTGTAATCACACTATTGGGGCAGCAATGGTTGGAGGAACAACAATGATGCAGATTGAAGGCTCAGAAAGCGATGGAAGAATACCACTGATAAGGGTAAATATGACGTCATTAAAGAGTATATAGTAAATGAGCATGCATTTGTTGCGTGGATATGTGCGCTTTATAAATATCCTGTAAAAAAAAATAGGCAAGACATTTCCAAAGTTCACATTCCTGACGATTACCTGAATTGATTGTTGCTTCCGTTCAGCTATACAAAACTCACCACATGCAGGCTTTTCTGAAGGAGGTGGAGGTGGTGGCGGTTGTTCACCTGCAAAAACTGATATGACAGTTAGTAAGTAAAGCTGAAACTTTGCTTCTGTTGTTGTCCTGCTGACATGCAAGATGTACCCTGTGTACATATAAGTTTATGTGTGTAGCACACTTTGAACATAGACTTGATTTAAGCAGGGTCAACAACGATTTCTTATCATTGTAATAGTAGCCTTCCTATTTGAATGTTTGTCGCCTTGGTATTTAAAGAGGCACTATATTGGATCAGGAACAATCACTAACGTTTGGGTCCAATAAGAAATGCACGAATGCCATTAAAGAATGGCAATGTCGTTTTTAGTCTGAAGACGACACTTTGACACAAAAATGTCAGTAATGTGTATAGCCACCGTTGTCTGAAATATGTGCCATGGTGAATGTGTTAGTATGATTGTTGATGTTAACTCACTCTTGCTTTCTTTCTGTTATACAAAACTCACCACTTGTGGGCGTTTCGGAAGTAGATGTTTCCCCTGGTGGTTGTTGACCTGAAACAAATACAGCAGTTAGAAGGTAGTCCTGATCCTTTCCTTCTGTTGCTGTCCTGCTAACATGTATGGTGTACCCGTCTGATATATAAGGTTCATCTGCATAACACTCTTCAAATATAGGCCTAATATAGATAACGATTTCATCCCATTGTAATTGTAGCCTTCCTGTTTGAATGTTTGTCGTCCTGGTATGAAAAGTTGAATACATTTGACTAGAACATGAAGCTCTTCATGGAATAGAATAAATGTCATTTTCACGAGAAATCGGAGATATGAATTCCCGTTTTGCATAAATTTGAACCAGGTATACTTTTAAAGTCATCTATACACCTTGTCAAAAGTATCACACCACCAAAAGTCAAAGTAGAAATATGATTTTCGTTCTTTTTACACTACACGTACATATGTAATATACGACACCATCTGTAAACATAATACCACAGATGTTCCGAGCTGCACGTGCATGCTTGCCTTAAGCTATAAATGCAGTATGCACATAGCCCCCTTTGGCGTATGTTATGTTGGCAGACAGCTAAAATGTGATTGTAGGCAGAAATTAAGCTTTTTTTTTGACGAACCAGTGAAATGTCCAAGCGTCCAGTGCCTCTGAACCAATAATGGCAAAGTATTGGTATGCACCAGACGGGTATGTCATGTCATGCTATTGGAGCACAACTGGACATTAATCGTACTGTCATCAGCAGGCTGATAGGTAAGCATACTGCTACCGGTGAAGTGAAGGATGCACCGAGGTCTGGACGTCCCAGAAAGAAACAATGACATGGAAGATGGCTTTTGTACGCCATGCCAGACGAAGCCCAATGTCCACTTGTACACAGCTGCGACATAGATGGCATCCATACAACAGTGTGTCCATCAGCACCATCAGACGACGCCTACATTCTGCAGGATTGAGAGCAAGACGACCAATCAGACGTCCACTCCTCACAAATCTGTACCACCATGCCCATTTATCCTGGTGCCAAGCACGTGCTTGCTGGAACCTGAGGACATGGAAAGGATCCATTGGTCCGATGAAAGCCGATTTTGCTGCATCATACAGGCGGGAGGGCACGAGTTCTGAGGGTGGATCCGTCATGGTGTGGGGACGTTGTTCCTATGATCGTAAACTTGACCTCATCATAGTCCATTGAATGGACAGAGGTACCCGAACTTGATCCTGGACGGTGCCGTAGTGCCTTATTTCGATAACCATGCTCTCGCCACACATCCAGTCTTCATGGACGATAATGTAAGACCAAATCGTGCTCGAGCTGTTGTTCAGCATATCCAACACAACGCCATTGAGACACTACCATGGCCAGCCAGAAGTCCAGACATGAATCCTATTGAGCATTTGTGGGACAATTTGGGACGTAGGGTGAGAGCAAGGGATCCTCTAGTTCAGAACCGTCAGGAATTGAACCATGCATTGCATGATGAGTGGCAGCAGATCCCCCAACAGAGAATCAGACGTCTGGTCCAAGTGCGAGGCGGTTACACCAGATACTGACTTAGCCAGTCATTGTGGACCTTTCAAGTGTGTTCAACATATGAACTATGTTGTGTGTCTGTTGTAACGACCCCGGCAACCGTACTCATCTCACCTTATTTTACGGTGATTTTAGTAAACTTTAGTTTGCTTCAATGAAACCTTCAATTAGTGCTCAGAGTCGGTCTTGTTTTGTCAATTTTCTGACTGAACGCTCACATGAGATGAGCTGACCATCGTCATAATGCAGCCTGTCAGGAGATGGGAACATCTCTATCTGCTCTGGGTAAGCTGTAAGAAAGTATATAGACATTGTAAGTCAACACTCCAGAAATAGGAGAAGAAGAACGACAATATTGCCAATATAGTAACAATTTTAAATACTTCAGATGTAATAGGAACTGTCTAAAGGTTTTATAAATATCTATTTGATTTGCATGAATAGCACCTGATTAGATTGTTTAAATTGTAACTAATGCAAGTACATACAAGACACGTGTGCAGAGATAACACTAAATAATGCAGTGAAACAACTTAAATGTCAAATATCTATATATACACAAACATACAATATAGTGTACATATACACACACACATATAGGATGTGTGTATGAGTATGTGTGTGTGTATCTCAAGAATTCAAAACGTTTCAGATTCAGTCGGAGTAAATATTAACATTACGCACTTCTAGCTGTAATGTTGGTAGTTGCCTCATCACTTCCAGATGACCCCGTCAAGTATATTGTTGTGCAGTAGTATGTAGAAGCAGCATCAGCACATCTCAGGTTTGTCAGGATGAACTGTATACTGCCTCTTGCTCCACTGATAGAACCTGAGGCTGTCATCCGCTGTTGTAGACTTGTGTCCACTACTTGTACTGACGTATCTGTGTTGGTCAATCGTATTATAGGCTGATCAGAGCCAGTAGAGGACTTCTTGCCGATCTCTATGGTAAACACCTGTGTTATCCCAGGTGCATTTGGCCTGCAACTTACAGTCAACTGAGATGTTGGGTTACTGCCCCTGATTGTTTTTTTGCTTGGTGATGCGGTTAGGCTTGCCCCAGTGGCTGAAAAACAAGTACTTGAATTCATATTAATTCAATACAAATGAGTATTGATTGATTCATATAAATATTTGCACCCAATACTATACAGCATAGGAACATATCACTGCGCCATCACGGGTACTACATATTCATGGTTTCTGTATTCTGTGCTTCACAGGTGACACTTTGTGAAGATGTACGAATATAGTGACTGATTTCACATAACCTCTAGGTCAGTGACGTGTTAGTACTGTATTTCAGTTTCGAAACACCCAAGTGGAACATGTGGCATTCGAGAAGTAGATTCGACTTTCTTTGAAGATGAACAGGAGTAAAAATATTCACACAGGCAAAATAATTACTTGCTTCTTAAACACAAATGAGTTGATCCCTACCCCCGTCAGTTAATCCACTGTACCGCTTAATACTGGTTGCACCCCCCCACGAAAACCTTATTTGTCTGGCAGCACGTTGAGTGTACTTACTTCCAGAGAGAAAGGTCATAAAGATCAGAAGACAATAAGGATCGCACGGGTTCATACTTTTTTCTGTCAGGTGCGACTTTCTGTTCCTGAAACATGTTCATGTATGTCGTTAGTTATGGAATCCCTCTGGTAGTATAAGGTTATATTTTCCCATGAGATCAAACTTTACCTTTACATTTGCCACATTTCAACATCTTGACTATCAAGCCGTTGCCTAAGAGGAGAATGTGTAGCAGTTGTTACATATGGATATACACATGCTTGGTTTAGTATATAACTTACTTGCATGATCAATAACTTACGAAATATAAAACACGCGTCCATCAAGTTTCACCTGAGTGGCGTTAGACAAACAATATCGAAACAAAGAATATTTTCATTACTTATAAAATATTTTATGTTATATGATTGAACTGGAGATAACAGTATATAGCATATGACTAACAAATCGTAATTACGATTTATGATTTACAAGTTCATGTATGAAGGTTGGTGAACTGACACACACAAAAATGAAGGCATGGTAAAACAATAGCTGTAACATATTCTCTTTTCAATGAACGGAGTTGATTCAGATAGATTCCATCTGCACTTAAATTTACAGTATTTTGCAAGCCTTATACATATTTATCTGGAGAATTAAATTATGCTTAGCGTCCATTAACAAACTAAATTACCTGAACACGCGATAGTGTAAGAGTACACGAGCAGTGTTCATTACATGCTATGTCCGTTGCAGTATTTTCAAACTAAGCAAATATCCTTTCGGAGAACTGTACTTAACGTCAGTGTACAAGGCCAGTTACGTATATATATAGATACACACTGTAGAACTGTACACATCGGCTACTGGCGTACAGGTAACACGCTGTGCTGATTACAGGTGTGTAAGACAACACAAAACAAAGGTAGAGTTCATCACACAGCTTCTCAACAGTCACTGATCGTCACAATTGTAGACACCATCGGTGGATGCATACTACTTTTCATGTTCCCGACAGTTCCTATTTGTAGATAAACTTTGGTATTTTATTTCATATATCAATACATATAATATAAGTACAAAGGTACATGTAGTCATCTTTCGTTTAAAACTGTAGATACACACGTCACAACTGTGTTGGGAAGCACATAATATTAACAATTGTATATGTCAGCTTACCCACTCCTTAGAATCCTACCCTGCTCAATTTACTTCCTTGATGACTGCACTGGCCTACGCCACACGCCACACGCTTGACAACAGTACAAGAATGTGTATCGAAATGTCGCACTCACAAAATAAAAAAAAGTTGTTATCCATAAAGTTTGCTCAATAGTGCATGTCCCAACTTCTAAAATGCCACTCAAAGAAGATTGTATTACCTATACATGTTACACCAGATGCAATGTCTGAGTAAAAGATAGCTCGGGTCATGGCGACACAGAGTCAGTAGAGCAAAGTCTACCTGAGACAATAAGCCTATTGCCTAACTGTGGAGCGATGTTAAGGGTCTTTGTAGTGTTCATTCCAATGCTGATATGGACACCAATACGAAGCATTCCCAAATTGTCTTTACAGCCATCAATACAATGACTCTTGAAACTACACACACAGATACATACGAAGCGTAGTAGGGCCACGGTGAAAATTTTTTTTGGGTCACTGTCTCCTACGTAGGACATACTATATCCTACGTAGGACTTAGTATCTCCTACGTAGGACTTAGTATCTCCTACGTAGGACATACTATCTCCTACGTAGGACTTAGTATCTCCTACGTAGGACTTAGTATCTCCTACGTAGGACTTAATATCTCCTACGTAGGACATACTATCTCCTACGTAGGACTTAGTATCTCCTACGTAGGACTTAGTATCTCCTACGTAGGACTTAATATCTCCTACGTAGGACATACTATCTCCTACGTAGGACTTAGTATCTCCTACGTAGGACTTAATATCTCCTACGTAGGACTTAGTATCTCCTACGTAGGACTTAGTATCTCCTACGTAGGACTTAGTATCTCCTTTTTAAGGATGGTTATTAAGTTGAGAAATGTTTGGCTATGCAGGACGTTAGATAATCGAAATGTGAGTCAGTGAATATTCATGACACTAACGCAGTGGTACTGTACAGTGTTATTGTGTGTGTATTACGTTAGGGTGACGTGGACCCTGTTCTAATTGCAGTTATGGAGGTTTGGGTATGGTTATGTTAAATCTATCATACATACATCTATTCACACACACAAACACACAGATACACACGCACACAGAGGGGGGTGGGATGGTTGAGATGAGGTTGTGATATGAAACTCGGGTTATAACACGACCTCCGCAAGTTGTTGTTTGTCTTGATGGGGCTAGGTTGGATCGGATGCAACGCTCGTTTGCGGTTTTATTCGTAATTGTTTACAGGTTGACTTGACTGGGGTGGACAAGTGTTGAGTGCGGCGTAAAACAATACGAAATTCAAAAAGGCAAAGAATTGTCATTATAGTTATTTGTATAAATATAAGGGGATACGTACACATAGGTTGCCACCTATAGTCTAAGACACGTCTGTACACGCAGATTATGATTCATGTGCAACGACCTCTGAAATATCCAATGCATAATAGTAAAGTGTAACAAAGAGCAACATATAACAGTGAACTAACTGCAACGCGTAATAGTAGAGCAAACTGAACGCAAGGCAGTAAAGTATAACAGTCGGTCCAACACAGTACTTATGTGCAACAATTAGTTGAACACATGACTCTAATAGTGAAGGAAACAGTAGACTCCAATAGTAAATTGAAACACATGACAGTAGACTCTAATAGTGAATGAAACGAATGACTATAGACTCTTACAGTGACTAAAACAGTGAAACAGGAGATTGTGTGCGTGTCTGGGGCTTTAAGTCGACCGTTTCAGATTAATCCATATAAACGTATATCGATCATCTCCTACAGGAAATATTAAGTACTACGTAGGAGATACTAAGTCCTACGTAAGAGATACTATGTCCTACGTAGGAGATGCCCACTTAGGAGATACTAACTCCTACGTAGGAGATACTAAGTCCGAGATACGTAGGAGATACTAAGTCCTACGTAGGAGATAGTATGTGCTACGTAGGATATACTAAGTCCTACGTAGGAGATAGTAAGACGAAAAAAAATTTTCACCGTGGCCCTACTACGCTTCCGTACATACACACATACCTGTACATGAAGTCAATCGCCATTAGACATCCAACCTGCAGAATATACTTCCTTGTTGTACACACGTGCTATAGCCGTGTTATCGCAGGAGTAAAAATAACTTTACAATTTATTGTTTGGGTCCAAGGAACACGGTACTGGATTCAAAGTGTACAGGAGATGTGGGTTAAGATCGCATTGAGGGGAACATGTCCAGCGAAGGGTAACGGTGTGTTTTGAAATTGTAGAAGTGTAGTGGTAGGTATGGAGATCAGCAGGACAGAAAGATGTCTGTGTTTGAATGTACAACCGAACTGATAACCATTAGCACTATACCACCGTCGGCAATATCATAGCTTCATCAATATACTGTTTCCTACGTCTTTAGAAAATGGTGGGTTGTATATTAAACTTAACATTTGTGTATGTTTATTATCTTAGATGTGTCTCTGTGCAAAGGAAATTTCGAGCAGCAACTGTTGTTAAGATCCTAGATTATATCAGTTTGACACACTTCGCGTAAACCGTATTGAATTTCTTTTTTGAAAAACTAACTGATTAATTGTTGAGCATTCTCACACTCATATCTCTGAGTTTGGTGGTAAATATGTGAATTCTAAGTATATCACTGGTTGCAACGTTTACTGATCTATGCAGGCGACAGATATTGGTTTGGTGACCAGGCTGGTTGACTTGGTTGATTGCATGTCATTCTACTTAAACAGTGTATGCATAATATCGATCACAGGATTGTCTGGTCCAGTCTGGAATATCTAAATACTGCTGAGTGAGATGTTATATATTTCAGTTCTTGATCAGTTTGGATTCATTCGTCGTAAAACGTGTGTATCCTACATCTCTTTATTCGTTCCAAACATCAAGGTTGACACCTTGTCATGCCATGGTATCATACTTGCATAGATATATGCTCATGCTGTTGATCACTCGACTCTCTGCTCCATGCTTCAAAGCATAATTACAAAGCGACGCCATATAGCTGGAATATTGCGTTAAACAAAAGAAAAAAGCAACACATTAAAGGGTGGTCAGGCCATCAGCCATGTTCAGACCAGTTGAGCACAAACCCAGCATGAAAACTGTTCTACAAATCAGTCCATGTTATGTAAGTGAACTTCAGTATCAGGTTAATGTTATTTAATTTTTGTGAATTATAGCAGAGGTGTGACTGTAATATTCCGATGATACAATGTGTTCAAGGCTGAATATAAGAGTATAGGTAAGGTTAACGAATCATGATAAGGACCCCAAACTTGCCAGGGTCTTGAAGAAACAGGAACTGAATTTTGCATGTGTTACTGTTGAAACAAAGAGCCTGCCCCATGTCCTGGAGCTGAGATTAAGACAGCACTGGGTCCTAATTCTGTCTTGAGATAAGGTCTGTGCATTATATAATTATTTATATCTAAAGATCTGTACAGAATTATGTTAAAACTGTGTACAGTAATGTATATGAGATACAAAAAAGTACTAATTCTGACTTTGTTTGTATTGTCTATTTGAATTTTCAGCTGAAGCAACATCAACTCACTTATTAATGTAATGGTATTTTATGTGGAAGAACAACTTCTTTATTTACAATGAGGAAGTAGATGTGTAGAAGGTAACACTGTTATCAAGCAGTAGATGTATAAGGTAGTGTAGGGAGGCATATATACAGATATGAAGTAGTGTTTTAACGATAGATTCCATTAGCCTGTTCAGTATACACTGCAGAAGATGTAAGGCAAATTAGGTCCTTGCAAATGAAGCCAGTCGTGTAAACATACAGCTGGACACAGAAGTATTATATCTGATTGGAGTCAGTTGGTGACAGGTAAGCTGGAGATGTGTCATACTCTTGGTCACAGTTGATGGATGGTTGGAGTCTTTTTTGATGGGGATGCCCTTTTGGATTGTTCTCACTATAGGTCTTTTAGGTCGTTAGTAGGAGCTTTGATTTTGTCCTACTAGACAACAGTCCACAACAGTCCACGGACATAGACAGATAAAGTTGATTTCGAGATTGGATGCTGAACTGTGATGCCTTAAAGTTTTAATTCGGGTTTTGAGGGGGGTCTAGATGTTAGCGTTTGATGTCTGAGCAAAAAGAAAACGCGATTGTTATTTAGTAGTTGATCTTCACTGTCATTCTTTTCGTTTCACACATGCTCATATGTTCGTATCTTCTCATAAGTGTTGGTGACGTCAGCAGCTCCTCTCTGTAAGGCATCGTAGTCATAACTGTTCACGGGAACATCGTACTCGTAACCGACACCTACAAGAAATGTGTGTAGTGAGTATGTTAACAATGTCCTTCAGACACACACTTCTTCAACAGTTCAATTACCATGGCAATTTATAGTTCTACACGTCTATCTCAATGGTGTGAGCGTTATTTGAACACTCACCGTCGGCGATGGTTCATCCCTTTAAGCGAATCTGGCTTAAAATCTGACAAACCAATGACTGAAAGAGTAAGCATGGATTCATGCCTACAGGAAATATTGACAAGATGTCAGCTGATCCATGGACACTGACCACTTAGTATTTGTTAGCTTGCACACCAAACATGGAGAACGAGAACATATATGTTCTTGTGTCACTATTTAGGTTCTCTTGTGTTGGACGCTTGTATTGTGGTAATGTAAATTGACAAAATCTGACCTTGTGTTTGGATTCCACCAGGTGCGACCACTGTGGCAGGAGCCTGTATGCTGTAGTGGTTGAGAAAGCATAAATGTTATGGCAATGCCCATCATGCTGCCATTTTTTTTACAGAATGAATAAGCAAACAAACCAATGAAATTTAAAAACTCTTTGTCCAGAAACAATTTTCAGTTTACATTTAGTATACAGAAACAATTTTCAGTTTACATTTAGTATATGTGTTACCTTGTGATAAATGTTTGGCAGTATTAATTCTGGAAAAGGTGAACCTACTTAGAGAATACTGGATTCTCTGCGTTACTGGTGTCATTTGATCCTGAAACAACCGAAAAACAGATTCATGAATGGACAAATAAAATTACATGCAGGGGCTACCACACATGAAATGTCCCCATAAAGATCACCAGGAACTTCCCCCGAGCTACCGTTATCCCTTTACTGCTTCTAGTTTATTGACTCGACTGTCTTGTCTGGGCAGAGCTGTGGACCATTTAACTGTGGTAACCAAAACTCGTCACTGACGAATCCTGCAGTTTATTGATGGCCAGGTTCGTTTCCTGATATGTCCTTTTTGACCGGTTGTAAGTGCTACATTGTGAGCATTGCCGGTATGTGGTCCTGAAACAACCGATTATCAAATTGACGAATGGACAAATAAAATGTCATGTAGGGGCTACAACACATGAAAAGTCCCCACGGAGATCACCAGGAACTTCCCCCGAGCTACTAACATCCCTTTACTGTTTCTAGTTTATTGACTCGACTGTCTTGTCTTGGCAGAGCTCATCACCTGTGGACCATAGAACTGTGGTAACACGAACTCGTCACTGACGAATCCTGGACTTTATCGATGGCCAGGTCTGTTCCTGATATGTCCTTTTTGATCGGTTGTAAGTGCTACATTGTGAGCATGGCCGGTATGTTGGGGTTGATCAACAGTGATAGGGGGAGTTAGCTTCAATGGTCACAGACTTTGAGCAACAATAAGATGTGGCACATGTTTTGGTCACCTTATCCACATGATCGGATATCAATCGACCATTAGCGTGATGTACTCGGTTAGCAGCAGGTCAACAGTCCTATTTGTCCAAGCAGCATGGCAAGCTATTCCCTACTTTATTTTTGGGAAATGCAGATATAGGTAGTCACACATTATTAATGCTATCCCACCATTTGTGACTTTGTCTAATCATCCTTTTGTGGTCATTGCCATCATTCAAACTTTCATGGATAACATTATTCTTTGTTATTGTTTTAATACAGTGTTGCTTGCCAACATTACCATTCTCATCCAGGACCAGATGTTCCCATAGCTGTAACAGCATCAAGTTTAGTTCCATGATAGAATTCGTTGATGGATCGTCATGCGGATGAAATTGTCAAAATGTTACATGATTTCCACAGATAGATTACGATCTGTTACTACTGTATATACCTTCTTCGGTCTTGAAACTTTTAAACATTCCAAAAACATTATCACGTAAAGTACCTACCTGATATGCAGTCTGCTAGTTTGTTCCTGAAGACGAACGCCAAGCCAAGACAGATGGCATCAACAACCAGCATCACACACACACCTATAGCCACTCCAACACCAAAAGAGGGTTCCTGGTTCTCTTGGACACACGTCGCTGTCATTTGAAACATCAAATGTATTTCTATGGCTAAATGGCAGTTTAATTTATTGTAACCAAATGCTGAGACCATAATACCTTATTTTGTTAAGTTTCAGTAGAAGATCAAATCATTGTGTTTGGGAAATATCTAGTTGTCAGGAATGTGTTACTGTCTCATGTTTGCACCGACTAATCCAGCATTTTACAGAAGCTTCTGAAAGGACGTATTTAGACCAAGTGCTGGTACGTGAAGGCCTTCGCTTGTGTCCATTTAGCCTAACTATATTTTACCTGGCCATACGAAATCTCTTGTAAACACTATACCCTCCTTTTTTAAAAGATATTGGGAAATGTTCTTGTAGCATATAACTTAACCCCTTAACATATCTATTATGAGGTCCTGGAACGAGTGATCAGTCCAAATATCTCATTTTTATCATTCTGCCATGAGACTGCCTTACACTGATCCTTTTTCAGTGCTTCAGTCACTGAATCTCCAGGCCCTACTTACAGGCCAAACTCATGTGCAAAGTATCCTTCCTTAACATCTGTATGATGGACAGAACACATGAAAGTACGTCAAACAAAGAAGCTTAAGGTATCCTCTGTATACTTCACGATGAATATATGTATACCGATCGATGAAGCGAATGCTGGCATTAACAATTCAACCTATCTAGCTCAAATACAAGGATGTCATCCACCATAAACGAAACATAAACGAAACATAACAGTGGATGTGGGATTGTAATCAAACTATTGGGGCAGCAATGGTTGGAGGTAGAAAAATGATGCAGATTGAAGGTTAAGAAAGGGAGGGAAGAATACCACTGATAAGGGTAAAGATGACATCAGTAAAGAGTATATAGCCATCGTTGGCAGAATTACGTGCAACGGAGTGTCGATGTAAGTGTCAAGACATTTATGCCAGCATTGTCTATGCTTCCTAGTTCTGTAGTACATAATTATTGGTATAGTGCCAGATGGTGGCCACATGAATACGTGCAAACACCTAGTTGCAGGTACAGCAACGTACATTGAACTTGAACAAAGCACTGTGACTATGTGTCCCAGTCCACCCAGCTGTGAATGGGTACCTCGATAGGATGAGAATGCCACAATAACTCGGTGCGCCTAGTGGCTGCAAGAGTTGTATACTCCCCAGGGAGTGGAGAATGATAATACAATGTGCCGTTGAGATTGACATCCAACGATCGAGGGAAAAACTAGCAGCGCCTTGAGCATGCATTTGTTGCGTGGATATATCCGCTATATAAATATCCTTTAAAAAAAATATAGGCAAGACATTTCCAAAGTTCACACTCCTGATGATTTCCTGAATTGATAGTTGCTTCCGTTCAGCTATACAAAACTCACCACATGCAGGCTTTTCTGAAGGAGTAGTAGGCCGTGGCGGTTGTTCACCTGCAAAAAATGATATGACAGTTAGTAAGTAAACCTGAAACTTTGCTTCTGTTGTTGTCCTGCTGACATGCAAGATGTACCGCGTGTACATATAAGTTCATGTGTGTAGCAAACTTAGAATATACACGTAATTTAAGCAAGGTGAACAACGATTTCTTATCAATGTAATAATAGCCTTCCTATTTGAATGTTTGTCGTCCTGGTATTAAAAGAGGCACTATATTTGATCAGGAACAATCACTAACTTTTGGGTCCAATAAGATATACACGAATAGCATTAAAGAATGGCAATGTTTTTAGACTGAAGACGACACTCTGGCAATGTGCCAGGGTGACTGCTTTAGTTTGATCGTCGATGTAAACTTATATTTACCACTCATGCTTTCTTTCTGTTATACAAAACTCACCACTTGTAGGCGTTTCGGAAGTAGATGTTTCCCCTGGTGGTTGTTGACCTGAAACAAATACAGCAGTTAGGAAGTAGTCCTGATCCTTTCCTTCTGTTGCTGTCCTGCTAACATGTATGGTGTACCCGGCTGACATAAGGTTCATCTGCATAACAATCTTCAAATAGAGGCCTAATTTTGATAACGATTTCATCCCAATGTAATTGTAGCCTTCCTGTTTGACTGTTTGTCGTCCTGGTATGAAAAGTTGAATACATTTGACCAGAACACGAAGCTCTTCATGGGATAGAATATCTAACAGGTTTAAATGTCATTTTCTCCATAAATCGGAGACATGATATTTATGACGAGGTGCATATAATGCAGAAACCGAAACACATATTAAGGTTGAAAAAATAACAACTATTACATCTTACCAATAACATAAACAGTCTTGTTTGAGCTGTAGTCAGCACTCACGACAGAACACCTGAACTGTCTCCCATTGTCTAGATTCGAGAGTGTGTGAACCAGTGTTGATGCTCCTTGATACTGACATTCCGCTGACGGCGTAGGACGGTCGTAGGTGATGTTTTGGTCGTTTGGGTACAGTGTCCAGGAGATGAACTCGGTATCTACAGATCGCCACTCCCATGTCCACAGGTTCTGGAGGTTGTTCTCATCAAACTGGTTCCCAATCCTGCCTGTACATCTTATTTACAAAACCTGACCATTGTCATACTGGACCCTGTCAGGAGATGGGAACATCTCTATCTGCTCTGGGTAAGCTGTAAGAAAAGATAGAGACACTGTATATCAACATTCGGGGCAATAAGCGAAGAAGGGCAGTCGACGGTCTCATAGATTGGATGTAACATATACATTTTGGTAAATATTAGGGGTGTCACGATACACCAATCTCACGATACGATACGTATCACGATTTTAAGGTCACGATACGATACGTATCGCGATACATAATTATCGCGCCTTTTCATAGCATTACCTTACCGGCAACGTACGCGCTCGCTGATTGGTCCATCTAAATAGTCTAGCCAATCACAAAAGCTGTTAGTTTCCAACTTATTTTTTAAGTAAAGCTAGCTTCATCTATTTATCGGAGCCATCTGGTATAATTTTACTATCAAGACTTTGATGGAGTTGGATATAGCATAAAAATTTGAATCGATAAAGTTTTAAAAATAGGAATCGATACACGCAAGCATGTATCGCGTATCGTATCGTCAGTAAAAATGTATCGATGTATCGATACATTCGCGTAAATATTAACATGACGCACTTCTAGCAGTGATGTTGGCCGTTGTCTCATCATTTCCAGTTTCTCCATTCAAGTAAAACGTTCTGCAGTAGTATGTAGAGGCAGTATCAGTACATGTCAGATCTGTCAGGATGAGCTGTATACTGCCTGTTGCTGCACTGGTAGAACCTGTCATCCGCTGTTGTAGACTTGTGTCCACTACTTGAACTGACGAATCTTCGTTGGTCATTCGTATTATAGGCTGATTATGGCCAGTAGAAGACTTCTTGCCGATCGCTATGTAATACAATGTTGCCATAAGTGTATCTGGACTACACGTGACAGTCAACTGAGATGTTGGGTTACTGCCCCCGATTGTTATTTGACTCGGTGATAGGAACAGGATTGCCGCAGTGGCTGAAAAACAAGTACTTGAATTCATATTAATTAACATAAATGAGGATTGATTGATTCATATAAATATTTGCACCCAATACTATATAGCAAAGGAACATATCACTGCGCCGTCACAGGTGCTACATATTCATGGTTTCTGTATTCTGTGCTTCACAGGTGACACTTTGTGAAGATGTACGGATATAGTGACTGATTTCACATAACGTCTAGGACAGTGACGTCTAAGTAATGTATTTCAGTTTCGGATCTCCCAAGTGGAACATGTGGCATTCGAGAAGCAGATTCGAATTTCGAAGATGATCAGGAAAGAAAATATTCACACAGGCAAAATAATTCTTTGGTATTTTATCACCACTGCCTCTTAGACACAGTTGACTTTGATCCCTACCCCCTTCATTTAATCCTCTGTACTGCTTAATACTGGTTGCGAATTTATGTGTGATATATGAGATATATCACAAGAACTGCACGCTTACGCGTCTGATTGTTTGCAAAGTGAAGATGATTCACATTAAACACACACACACCACCACCACCACCGTTGTGTGTACTTACTTCCAGAGAGAAAGGTCATAAAGATCAGAAGACAAAAAGGATCGCACGGGTTCATGCTTTTTTTCTCACAGGTGCGGCTTTCTGTTCCTGAAACATGTTCATGTATGTTGTTAGTTATTGAATGCCTGGTAGTATAAGGTTAGGTTATATTTTTAGATGGGATCAAACTTTACCTTTACATTTGCCACAATTAAACAACTTGACTATCAAGCTGCTGCCTTATAGGAGAATGTGTAGCAGTTGTTATATGTGGATATACACATTTTTGGTTTCGTATATAACTTACTTGCATGATCAATAACTTACGAAATATAAAACACGCGTCAATCAAGTTTCGCCCGAGTGTCGTCAGACAAACAATAGCGAAACAAAGAATATTTTCATTACTTATAAACTATTTTATGTGATATTATTGAACTGGAGTATATAGCATATGACTAACAAATCGTAACTACGATTTATGATTTACAAGTTCATGTAGGAAGGTTGGTGAACTGACACAAACAAACAATGAAGGCATGGTAAAACAATAACTGTAACATATTCTCTTTTCAATGAATGCAATTGATTCAGATGGATTCCATCTGCAAGGTTTTGCAAGAACTGGAGAATTTAATTATGCAGCGTCCATCAACAGCTCAAACACGCGATAGTGTAAGAGTACACGAGCAGTGTTCAAATGCTACGTTCAATGCAGTACTGAATAAATATTTTCTAACTAATATTTTCAAACTAAGCAAATATTCTTTCGGAGAACTGTACTTAACGTCAGAGGACAAGATCAGTTACGTATATATATATATATATAGATACACACTGTAGAACTGTATACATTAGCTACTGACGGACAGGTAACACGCAGTGCTGATTACAGGTGTGTAAGACAACACAAAACCAAGATAGAGTTCATCACACAGCTTCTCAACAGTCACTGATCGTCACAATTGTAGACATCATCGGTGGATGCATACTACTTTTCATGTTCCCGACAGTTCCTATTTGTACACAAACTTTCTTATTTCATTTCATATATCAATACATATAATATAAGTACAAAGGTACATGTAGTCATCTTTCGTTTAGAACTGTAGATACACACGTCACAACTGTGTTGGGAGGCACATAATACTAACAATTGTATATGTCAGCTTACCCACTATTTAGAATCCTACCCTGCTCAATTTACCTCCTTGATGACTGCACTGGCCTACGCCGCACGCCACACGCTTGACAACAGTACAAGAATGTGTATCGAAACGTCGCACTCACAAAATAAAAAAAGTTGTTATCCATAAAGTTTGCTAAATAGTGCATGTCCCAAGTTCTAAAATGCCACTCAAAGAAGATTGTATTAACTATACATGTTACACCAGATTCAGTGTCTGAGTAAAAAGATACCTCGGGTCATCGTGAGACAGAGTCAGTGAGGGGAAAGTCTGCGTGAGTCAATAATCATACCTTCCAACTGTGGAGGGTCGTTAAGAGTTTGTGTAGTGTTCATGCCAATGATAATACGGACACCAATACGAAGTATTCCCATATTGTCTTTACAGCCAATAATACAATGAGTCTTCAAACTACACACACACTCACATACCTGTACATGAAGTCAATCGCCATTAGACATCCTACCTGCAGAATATACTTCCTTGTTGTACACACGTGATATAGCCGTGTTATCGCAGCTTGGGTCCAAGCAACACGACACTGGAATGAAAGTGTACAGTAGGTTATGAAAGATGTGGGTTAAGATCGCGTTGAGGGGAACATGTGCAGCAAAGGGTCACGGTGTGTTTTGAAGTTGTAGTCGTGTAGTGGTAGGTATGGAGGTCAGCAGGACAGAAAGATTTGAGTTTAAATGTACAACCGAATTGATAACCATTAGTACTATACCACCGTCGGCAATATTATAGCTTCATCTATATACTGTTTCTATGGTCCTTAGAAAATGATGTGTTGTATATTAAACTTAACATTTGTGTATGTTTATTATCTTACGTTAACGACGTTACGTAGATGTGTCTGTGTGCAAAGGAAATTTCGGGCACAACTGTTGTTAAGATCGCAGATTATATTATTTTGACACACTTCACGAGCACAGTATTGAATTTCTTTTTTCCTTTTTTTTATATTACTGATTAGTTGTTGAGCATTTCTTACACTCATATATCTGAGATTGGTGGTATATATCTGAGATTGGTGGGTATTTTAAGTACATCATTGGTTGCAACGTTTACTGATCTGTGCAGGTGACAAATATTGATTTGGTGATCAGGCTTGTTGACTTGGTTGATTGGATGTCATTCTACTCAAACAGTGTACACCTAAATTCGATCACAGGATTGTTTGGTCCAGTCTTGAATATCTACACGCCCACTACATAGGACTGGAATACTGCTGGGTGAGATGTTATATATTTCAGTTTTTTGATCAGTTTTAGATTCGTTCGTCGTAAAACGTGGGTAACATACATCTCTTTATTCGTTCCAAACATCAAGGTTGACACATTGTCATGCCATGGTATCCCAATTGCATAGATATGCTCATGTTGTTGATCACTGGGGTGTCTGCTCCATGCTTCATTAATTACAAACCGCCGCCATATAGCTCGAATATTGCGTTAAACACATCAAGCAGTGATCAGGCCATCAGCCATGTTCATACCAGTTGAGCACAAACTGAGCATGATAACTGAGTTTTACTGTGATATTCAGATGGTGCTATGTGTTCAAGGCTGAATGTAAGAGTATAGGTAAGGTTTACGAATCATGCTAAGGACCACAAACCTGCCAGGGTCTTGAAGAAACAGGAACTGTATTTTGCATGTGTTACTGTTGAAACAAAGAAACTGCCCCATGTCCTGGAGATGAGATTAAGACATCATTGGGTCTTAATTCTGCATTGAGATGAAGTCTGAGCATTATATAATTAGATATATCTAAAGATCTGAACAGAATTATGTTAAAACTGTGTACAGTAATGAAAAGGAGACGAAAAAAGTACAAATTCTGAATTTGTTTTTATTGGCTATTTGAATTTTCAACTGGAGCAATATCAACTCACTTATTAATATAATGGTATCATATGTGGAAGAACAACTGATGTTATCAAGCAGTAGATGTATAAGGTAGTGTAGGGAGGCATATATACAGATATGGAGTTGTGTTTTAACAATAGATTCGATAAGCCTGTTCAGTATACACTGCAGAAGATCTAAGGCAAATTAGGTCCTTGCAAATGAAGCCAGTCGTGTAAACATACAGCTGGACACAGAAGTATTATATCTGATTGGAGTCAGTTGGTGACAGGTAAGCCATCTTGGTCATAGTTGATGGACGGTAGGAGTCTTTTTGATGGGGATGCCTTCTTTGCTTGTTCTCAGTATAGGCCTTGAGGTCGTTAATGGGAGCTTTGATTTTGTCCTACTAGAAACTGTTGTTGCAGTTGTCACGGAAATGGTCAGATTAGACGAGATTGCACGCTGAACTATGATGTCCTTTAATTCAGGTTTTGAAGGGGTCTAGATGTTAGCTACTGATGTCCGAGCAAAAAGCGAAACGCGATTGTTTGTTTGTAGTTGATCTTCACTGTCTTCTCGTTTCACACATGCTGGTACGTTCGTATCTTCTCATAAGTGTTTGGGACGTCAGCAGCTCCTCTCTGTAGGCCACAGTAGGTATTTCCTGTCAATTGGTACTTCGTACTCGTCGCCTACCCCTACAAGAAACGTGTGTAGTAGGTACGTTAACAATGTCCTTCAGACATCCACTCCTTTAACAGTTCAATTACTATGGTAATTTGTAGTCATGCTCGTCTATCTCAATGGTGTGAGCGGTATTTTAACACTCCCCGTCGGCGATGGTTCATTTCTTTACGCGAATCTGGCTTAAAATCTGACAAACCAATGACTGAAAGAGGATGCATGGATTCATGCCTTCAGGAAATATTGACAAGATGTCTGCTGATCCATGGACACTGACCAGTTAGTATTTGTTAGCTTGAACACCAAGCATGGAGAACGAGAAGCATTTCTGTTCTTGTGTCACTATTTAGGTTCTCTTCTGTTGGACACTTGTATTGTGATAATGTACATTGACAAAATCTGACCTTGTGTTTGGATTCCAACAGGTGCGACCACTGTGGCAGGAGCCTGCATGCTGTAGTGGTTGAGAAAGGATATATTTTATGGCCATGCTTATTATGCTGCAAAACTGTTTTATTTTTATTTTTACAGAATAGATATGCCTACAAACCTAAGAAATTGAAGAACTCTTTGTCTAGAAACAATTTTCGATCTACAAGTAGGATATTTATTACATTGTGATGAATGTTTGGAAGTATTAATTCTGGAAAAGGTGAACCTACTTAGAGAATACTGCCTTCTCTGCGTTACTGGTGTCCTTTGGTCCTGTAACAACCGAATATCAGATTAATGAATGGACAAATTATAATGACATGCAGGGCTACTGCACATGAATTGTCCCCATGAAGATCACCAGGAACTTCCTCCGAGCTACCAACATCCCTTTACTGTTTCTAGTTTATTGACTCGGCTGTCTTGTCTGGGCAGATCTCATCACATGTGGATTTTACAACTGTTGACACACGAATACGTCACTGTCGAATCCTGTTGGTTATCGATGGTCAAATCCGCATCCTGATATGCCCTTTTTCTGAACGGCTATAAGTGCTACAATGTGAGAATGGCTGGTATTTGGTGGTTGATCACCAGTCATCGGAGACGTGTTTAGTCATTATCATTGGTTTTACGCCGCTTTTAGGAACATTCCAGCAATATCACGGCGGGGGACACCAGAAATAGGTTTCACATATAGTACCCATGTGGGGAATCGAACATTTGGTCTTCGGCGTCATGAGCAAACGCCTTAGACACTAGGCTACCCCACCGCCCCAGATACATTAGGACCTGTTACAACTATACATACCTACATTGTGAGCATGGCCGGGGGTTAGCTTCAGTGGTCACAGACTTTGAGCAACAATAAGATGTCGCACATGTTTTGGTCACCTTATCCACATGATCGGATATCAATCGTCCACTAGCTTGACGTACTCGGTTAGCATACACGCAACAGATCAACAGTCCTACGTGTCCAAGCAGCATGGCAAGCCATTCCCTACTTTGTTTTGGGGAAGTGCAGATAAAGGTAGTCATACATTATTAATGCATCCCACCATTTGTGACTTTGTCTAATGATCCTTTTGTGGTCATTGCCATCATTCAAACTCTCATCACATGGATAACATTATTCTTGTTATTGTTTTAATACAGTGTTCCTTGCCAACATTACCATTCTCATCCAGAACCAGATGTTGCCATAGTTGTAACAGCATCAAGTTTAGTTCCATGATAGCATTCGTTGATGGATCGTCATGCGGATGAAATTGTCAAAATGTTACATGATTTCCACAGATAGATTACGAACTGTTACAACTCTATATAAAACTTCTGTCTTGAAACATTTAAACATTCCCAAAACATTACGACGTAAAGTACCTACCTGATATGCAGTCTGCTAGTTTGTCCCTGAGGACGAACGCCAAACCCAGACAGACGGCATCAACAACCAACATCACACACACACCTATAGCCACTCCAACACCAAGAGAGGATTCCTGGTTCTCTTGGACACACGCCGCTGTCATTTGAAACATGAAATGTATTTCTATGGCTACATTACGTTTTAATTTAATTGTATCTCAATGTTGTAATTATGCTCATGGAAACGAGCATGAGATCACCTGAAAGTACAAGTCTTTTCCAGAATTTCACCCACTGTGCAATACGAAGCTTCTGAAGAAACCTGGAAAAGAATAAAGGAACGCTTTTTTTCAAGTGTTCCCTTATTCGTTTCCATGCGTATATGATACATTGTTTTGCTCTGGTTTGTAGAAGGTCAAACCATTGTGTTTGGCAATACCTAGTTGTCGGGAATGTGTTACATCAGAAATTGTCGATATTTTGATACTTTTTAGTCGATTCGTTGTCAAGTGTAGTCTGGAATTTTCTACATTAATACCGACGGATCCCTCATATTACAGAAGCTTCTGAAAGGAGGTATTTATACCATTTATTTCGGAAGAGTACAATTACGGAAATGCTTTCGCTTGTCTTCACTGTTTTCAGTCTAAATATATATCATCGACCAGACGTCAATATTTTTTACACGGGCCATAACAAATCTCTTGTAAGAACTATACGCTGCGCCCTCATCTTCATTTTTAAAGATATTTGGAAATGCATATACCCCAAACTTAAAAAAGACACTTTGACACCAAAATGACAGTAATGTGTATGGCCACCGTTGTGTGAAATATGTGCCAGGGTGAATGCTTTAGTATGATTGTTGATGTTAACTCACTCTTGCTTTCTTTGTGTTATACAAAACTCACCACTTGTAAGCTTTTCGGAAGTAGATGTTTCCTCTGGTGGTACTTGACCTGAAACAAATACGGCAGTTAGGAAGCAGCCCTGATCCTTTCCTTCTGTTGCTGTCCTGCTAAAATGCATGGTGTACCCGGCTGACATATAAGGTTCATCTGCATAACACTCTTCAAATATAGGCCTACTATAGATAACGATTTCATCCCATTGTAATTGTAGTCTTCCTGTTTGAATGTTTGTCGTCCTGGTGTGAACAGTTGAACACATTTGACTAGGACATGAAGCTCATCATGGCATATAACATCTAAGAGGTTTAAATGTCATTTTCACGACCCATCGGAGACATGAATTCACGCTTTCCATACATTTTAACCAGGTATACAGTATCTGTAATGCAAAAAGTGCACACATATTAACGTTGGAAAAATAACAACTCTTACATCTTACCTACAATATAAACAGTCTTGTTTGAGCTGTAGTCAGCACTCATGACAGAACACCTGAACTGTCTTCCATTGTCTAGATTTGACAAGGTATGTATAAGTGTTGACGCCCCTGTATACTGACATTCCGCTGACGAAGTAGGACTGTCGTAGGTGATGTTTTGGTCGTTGGGGTACCGTGTCCAGATGGTGAACTCGTTGTCTACAGATCGCCACTCCCATGTCCACAGGTTCTGGAGGTTGTTCTCATCAAACTGGTTCCCAATCCTTCCTGTACATCTCATTGACAAGAGCTCACCATCGTCATACTGGAGCCTGTCAGGAGATGGGAACATCTCTATCTGTTCTGGATAAGCTGTAAGAAAAGACAGAGGCAGTGTATGTCAACATTCGGGCAATCGGCATAGAAGAATCAATTACAATTATAAATGCTGTATACGAGTGTAATAGGAACTGTTTAAATGGTGTATAGATAGTCAATTGGTTTGCATCAATGGCACCTGATTAGATTATTTAAATGCATTTAATATTTATTTATATGTTTTCGCACACACACACGTGTGTGTGTGAGAGAGAGAGAGAGAGAGAGAGAGAGAGAGAGAGAGAGAGAGAGAGAGAGAGAGAGAGAGAGAGTGTCCCTCAAGGAAACCAAACGTTTCGGATTCAGTGTGAGTAAATATTAACTTGACACACTTCTTGCCGTGATGTTAGTAGATGCCCCGTCATTTCCAGCTTCTCCTGTCAAGTATAACGTGCTGCAGTAGTATGTAGAGGCAGCATCAGCGCATCTCAGTTCTGTCAGGATGAACTGTATACTGCCTGTTGCTCCACTGATAGAACCCGAGGCTGTCATCCTCTGTTGTAGACTTGAGTCCACCACTTGTACTAACGTTTCTGTGTTTCCGATTCGTATTATAGGCTGATCAGAGCCAGTAGAAGACTTCTTGCCAATCTCTATGTTATACAATGTAGTGATTCCAGGTGCATTTGGACTGCAACTTACCGTCAACTTAGATGTTGGGTTACTGCCCCCGATAGTTATTTGGCTTGGGGATGCGGTCAGGCTTGCCCCAGTGGCTGAAAAACATGTACTTGAATTCATATTAATTCAATATAAATGAGGATTGACTGATTCATATAAATATTTGCACCCAATACTATATATCATAGAAACATATCACTGCGCCGTCACAGGTACAACATATTCATGGTTTCTGTATTCTGTGCTTCACAGGTGACACTTTGTGAAGATGTACGGATATAGTGACTGATTTCACATAACGTCTAAGTCAGTGACGTCTAAGTACTGTATTTCAGTTTCGAAACACCTAAGTGGAACATGTGGCATTCGAGAAGCAGATTCGAATTTCTTTGAAGATGAACAGGAGTAAAAATATTCACACAGGCAAAATAATTCTTTGGTACACGTATTACTACTGCCTCTTAGACACCATTGAGTTGATCCCTACCCCGTCAGTTAATCCACTGTACTGCTTAATACTGGTTGCGAATTTATGTGTGATATATGAGATATATCACAAGAACTGCACGCATACGCGTGTTTGTTTGCAAAGTGAACATCATTTACAGCAATAGCATTACAGCTTTAAAATTAAATTTATTTCTCCTACCTCCTCCCCCTCCTCCCCCCGAAAACCTTATTTGTCTGGCAGCATGTTAAATGTACTTACTTCCAGTCAAAAAGGTCATAAAGGTCAGAAGACAATAAGGATCCCACGGGTTCATGCTTTTTTCTGTCAGGTGCGACTTTCTGTTCCTGAAACATGTTCGTGTTTGTCGTTAGTTATGGAATCCCTCTGGTACTATAAGGTTATATTTTCAGATGAGATCAAACTTAACCTTTACATTTGCCACATATTTAAACAACTTGACTATCAAAACGTTGCATTATAGGAGAATGTGTAGCAGTTGTTATACATTGATGTACACATCTTTGGTTTCGTATATAATTTACTTGCATGATCATTAGCTTACGAAATATAAAACACGCGTCCATCAAGTTTCGCCCTAGTGGCGTCAGACAAACAATATCGAAACAAAGAACATTTTCATTACTTATAAAATATTTTATGTGATTTTATTGAACTGGAGATAACAGTATATAGCATATGACTAACAAATCGAAATTGAAGTTCATGTATGAAGGTTGGTACGGTGTATGAACTGACACAAACAAACAATGAAGGTATGGTAAAAGAATAACTGTAACATATTCTCTTTTCAATAAAAGCAGTTGATTCAGATGGATTCCATCTGCACTTAAATTTACAGTATTTGCAAGGCTTAG